GTGGAACGGTGGCAACCATGAGCTTACAGAATGCGAACAGTTGGGTTACTGGCGGGACTCATCATGTTCGGGCTTTTTAATAAGTATACTTCTTTCATTTTTGGAGAATATTGGGCATATGAAAAACAAGTGCTGAATGAAGAGAAAATCATTACATTTTTGAGGATTTTTTTTAAAACTTGACAGCTCCATCGTAATTTATTTGCATTTTAGGATATGAACAATTTCTCATGTCAGATTGCGATTCTTTATTTCATATTGGTGTTCAAGCAAAACTTATACTGTGTACTAGCTATTAATAATTTGCACTAGCAATGTGTGTTACCTATTTTGATGTTGTGACAGTGCTTCGTATATGCCAAACGTTTTGCTGACTCCTATCCCAATCTTCTCCAGCTCCTGAACAGCTTATGTCTCTTGCATATCGGTATCAATGATCACATGGTGCTAAATCTGTACATCTATCTGTTGTTGTGGAGACACAAAGCTAACTGCAATCTTCACCCACAAGTTATCCTAGCGAAAAAATGCAGGTTGCTCCTAATGCGAATTTTCAATTGCAACTGTCTGATTACTATTTGCGATTTTTTACGTCATGAGCATGCGGATGAGTATTTACATAGGAAATATGGAACTACTACGGAACCTCAAGCGTCGAGCCCCGAAGGGGTATTACGTATCTTGAAAAGTGACATTATGACGGTTTTTTGACACTATATAGCTTTTTTGTGACATTACGTAAGTTTTTCTGCAGTATGTCAACCTAGAACTAGGTGTTGTTCGCTTGATATGCACGAGATATATGCAAAGCTTAGTTGCGCATCGACTTCTTATTCATCATGGAAGTTACATACGCAAACTTGCTGACGTTCAAAAATGAGAGAGATAAGAAAAGAAAATCCCTGGTTGGTGAATTATACAGGGTGTAAACGTTATGATAGTCGTTATTTAAATGCGTGATAGAGGGGTTAAAAGAAGCCAAAAGTTTCATATAACATGGGGGTCAATACCACATTTTTTTAGAGAAAAGCGACTTTAAAGTAAAATAAAATCTGACAACGGCGTAATGCCAGACGCAAATTACGACGGAACGCAGTGTAAATAAAGATGGAGTTTGTTATTTTTGGCTCTTAGGTATTATTTCATTATTTGATAATGTACTCGTAAAATGCAAACAATTAAAAAAATCAGACTTACCACTAACTGTCTCAGCGCTTCACCTGGTGTGTGAAAGTTTATTGAACGTATTAAAAAAATCTACTTATAAATAGAGAACACAATTTGATACATACATTGTTTTTATTTTTAAAACCCACACTGCACCTTTTTTGTTTTTAAAGGTGTTCAAAATGTCGTCCTCCACTTTCCACACAAGCTTCATTACGACGGACCCAGTTTCTTCTTACTCTAGATCCTCGAAGTTGTCCATTTATTATTTCAGCGGCATTAACATTTTTTTCGCGAAGTTATGCTTCAGTTGTTATTGGACCAGCCCCATGAACCATCCCTTTAAGTTCTCCCCAATATCAGAAATCCATTGAATTGAGGTCAGGAGATCTTGCTGGCCATTTTCGAGGATCAGGAGCATTTCGACCGATCCAGCGATTTGGATAATGTTCATTCAAATACTGAATCACGCCTCTAAAATATGTGGTGGTGCCCCGTTACGAAGAAACCACAAATTCTGTCTCCGTTGTAATGGCATGTTGTCTAAGGTCTGTTCCAAAAGTTCTGGTAGGTTATTGGCTAGAAAGCTAAGCTATCCTTCTCCTGACAACTTTGGGGGTAACTCGAAAGGGCCCACTACCTGATCGTCAAGAATACCCGCCCAAATATTTATTTTAAAACGTTGTTGGAAATGACCTTCTTGGGCCCTAGTGTGAGTATTATGGAAATTTAATATCCCGTCTCGCGTAAAAGTACATTCGTCCGTCGCTAGAATGTTTTTAAAAAAATCCGCATTTTCAATGTTTTTGTGCAAAAACCACTGACAGCATGTTAGTCCGCGAGGATAGTCTTTTGGTAACAAGGCCTACACTCGTTGTACATGGTAGGGATAAAGCAAATTTTCCCGTAGGATTCTATGGACTACGATATGCGATAGTCCTACGCGGCGGCCCAATTCTCAAGTGCTGATATCTGCATTGATTTCCACGATATTTAAAATTTGTTCCTCCTGTCTTTCACGAGTGCGAATATTAGTGGGCTCAACACTTCCTGTATCTCGAAGTCTTTGGTACACTTGCACAAATGTCCTTCTGTCTGGGTGTACCCGTTGTCGAAATTTGTCGCGATAAATTTGAGCTGCAAGCTAACATGTCGGCGAACTCTTGATTCGAGAACATTGTAAATAAACACGACGACGTACGCGAACAAAAACAAAACAACACGCCCGGTTCTCTGCGCGACAGAGTGATTAAGTAATTTATCTATGCAAAACGATAACTAACCACTGTTACTGTTTGGGATCGATTGCCGGTTCGATAAGAGTGATGAAAGACCGACGCGCTGTTGTCATGTGTGTTTTAAATATTTAATTGAATGAAACTTACTTACTGACTACAAATTTTGGCTTAACTTTTTATTACAACCAACAGGTGAGAAAATATGCCACAGACATGAATATTTATGAAACGTGAAAAAGTTTTTAAATTTTACTTTATTTTATATTTCCAGTCATTTCAATTTTATTGAAATGTATTTTGCGATGTCAATTAGAAAATACAAATCAACGCCTTTATGTGAGACTCTGCGAAAATGTTTTATGTGTGATGCATCATTCCTAATCTAATTTTTCCATGATGTGGTTTAATTACACACAACGCGGGCGAAGTAGTGATTTCCTAGAATTTTTGACAACGCAAAAAAGCGGGGACAATCTTAATTTATAGCTTTGAACATAACTCCTTTTCAGAAAGGACAACATAAATAACCCGTCTGGTACAGCCAATAGATATGCCATGAGCAGATTCATAAACGATTTTCTCACATAGCAAATATCACTGATTTTAAACACATGCAGACACAATCACCATACAATCACCCAGATGCGATGTTGCTACTCAACCAATTTTCTTTCTGTCATACTCGGCGTTCTGCAACCAGCAAAGCATAGTTGAGTCATTCCTCCATAGGTGAAGCTCACAACGCTCTTAGAAAGCAAACACGGATTGAACTATTTGCACACTCGGAACTATCTAGAGAGCAAGTTGACATTTTGTCATTTTTTTTCTGCCATTATATAGGCTTTTTGCGGAGTAACCCTGCTAGTATACAATAGCTGCACCTTTTCCTACCTCCTGGGCAATGAAATACACGTAAGAGGGAAGGTGAACTGTGTGGCCCTACTACTAGTATTCGTATACTTGAGCTGAGCTGGCCGATCAAATATAATTTAATATTTCAACGAAGGAACGTGGACGAGACGCGGACGGCGAGAAACTGGCTGATTAAATCGTCCTAGTGAACCGTAAGATGCGGGAAAGTCTTCGGGCTTAGTCGCGGCCTTAATTGGGCTCCGGTTTGAGGTTGCTCGTTGAGTTATTATGAGAAGTAAATCTTTCAGAACGGCTAGGATTTTCCCTCGAAAAGCGAATGTGACTACCATTTTTGACTCGATTTTTGTTATCGCTCTCATTGTCTGTTTGCGTCTGTCTGATGTATGTGCAATGTCTATAAACGATTAGCGGATGATAAGCTCGATTTTCTCACACAGCAAATATCACTGATTTTATACACATGCAGTCCAAAACACAAAATATCCAGATGCGATTTTGCTATTCAACCAACTTTCTTCTCAGAGATGAGTACTATAGACTACTCGGCTTCACAAAACATATGCAACCAACAATGCGTGTAGTTGAGCTATTCCTCCATAGATGGAAGCTCATAACGGTCCTAGTGAGCAAACGTGGAATGACTATTTGCACCCTTAAAACTACATAGTCGGCGAGATGATATTTTATAGAATAATAATAATAATAATAGAACGTCTTTATTAGAGTACGTTTTTTATAGGTTTTTTACATAATACACGTGCAAAACGGTATGAGCGTGCTAATGTAGGATAGATATTATAGAGAATAAGCATATTCTCTACTGTAAAATAAATTTGCAGGACATTTTTTTGTGCCTGCGGGTTGTTCAAAAGAAAATCCACCGTCATATTTGTTTGAAAAGTCACCACAACACTCCTGCATTAGAATATACAGGGTGTAAACGTTATGATAGTCATTATTTAAATGGGTGATATAGGACATTACTTAGATCGTATTTTAGATACCATGGCTCCTGATTTTTTGGGATGTGGGTGTGTGTGGACTAACGATATGTTCAAAAAAACCCACCGTATGAAATCTTCAAACTTTACGTTAAAGTTAAAAGATATATTTAATTTTTAAATATGGTAGCAAAGCTGCATGGTTCGATTTGGTTGTCGCCAAACGTGTTCTTTGCTCGATAATTAGCAAAAAATGGCCTGTGTTGCACTAGTTTATCTACGATCACCAATACATTTTCTAACTCGAAACGCATTTCAAAGCACTTCATTTGCATGTATGCAATAATTCTACGAATATATGTTAAACTATACATAATATGAATACCGCAGCGTCAAGAGATGATTGTGTTATTAAATGTTGAATGACGCTCCAAAACAGAATAGATCATGCATGTTGATTGTGCAGTAAATTGGATGAGTGCTCTATTAGTGTAATGCGTGTGAAGTTTGCTTAACGTCATTATCTGACGACATCGAGGAGATATTAAAACTTTGGTTAGTTAATTATGGATATAATGATCAATATTATATAGATACGCTCACATTCTCAGATTGTACATGGGAACAGAAGATTGAAGAATAAGTTATCAGATGAAATTACGTACACCTCAAGTTCGTGTATTTACTGGCAAAAAAAAAATGAGAGAGGCTCCTGATCATTTTTTTGGAGGGGTTGAAAATTGGAGGTGGGGAGGATAGATATGTCTCAATTTTTTGGAGGTACGATATTTATACGCTTCCAACCCCAGTAATTCTATGCACCTATTAAACATATTTTGCTATCATAGATTTCGCGGTACATTTTTCTAGTATGGTATCACACGTATTTCTTCCGCGCCGCGAGATGGGTCTCAGTTCTTAGATACAGAGATTCGTCAAAGTGTTAACTATATCAAAAACTTTAATTTGTAAACTTTAAAAGGTGTTAACTTTTGCATTATAGGTAAAAAGGTGTTAACTCAAGGGTTAATTCAGTTTTCGTTTAAAATGTAAAAATGTTTGCGTTGTATGATCGAATGAGGATCATGTTGCAAAGTATAAAAAATCTTTTGATGTACAAAAATCTGATCGAGGAATAGCAAAAACAACAGAACAAAATCACATTCCTCACATTTGATTTACAAAAAACGCTCCCCTTGCCGAAAATTTCTACAAGTAAAGCCTTCTATTACTACAAGTATGGCTCTACAATCTAGGAATACATTTGATATCAACACAACAACCAAATGGTAAACGTTTTTTTCCACGTCTGGACCGAAGATCGAGGAAATCGCGGTCCTGAAGAAATTGGCAGCTCACTTACGGCCGTTTTGGAAAATATGAAGGACCAAGGCATGGTTTCCGATCATCTGATTGCATGGAGTGATTCGACAGGTGGTTAAAATAAAAAAAATATATTGTCTATGGCACTACCTAATAATCTCTGCAGTGTTAAAAAAATTGACCATGAGTTCCCTGAAGTAGGACATACCTTCATGGACTCTGATAGAGATTTTGCAGCTGTAGGCAACTCTATCAGAAAGCACCAACTAATTTATGCGGTGGATCAATATAAGGAAAAAAAAACACTTTTTAATATTTTTACAAGAATGGCGGACAACTTTGTTGATATTAAAGAACTTTCAAGTAAACGGAGTGGTCGATAGAAAAAAAAACTACAACTAGTGAGAAATTTTCATTCAGAGATGTAAGATGGATCCATAATGAAGAATTTGGTGTAACCAGGAACAGATACTCTTTTAGTAAAACAAAAAAATGAACTATTACTGATAAAAGAAAACAGCGAAATCTCGGTAGACGAGTAGAAAATGACCCATTATTATTGAATGTCGATAGAAGCCGACCTATTGGGGCCAAAAAGTTTGATAATATTCAGTAGCAAATTCCTTTAATACCAGCAAATTTTAGAGGCTTTTATCAAAATTAAAGAAGAGGAGATGATAAGTTACAGTGTGTGGATTATTTGTTATTACTCTTGCGAGTTTGTAATAAGGAAAAAGAAGAATGTTTACTTTTAATAAATAACATCATTGAACTAAAACATTTCTGATACTCTCGTTTTCCGGACCAAGCAAGAGGTTAAGCTTTGAATAGTCAAAGCTATATTGATAACTGCCTTTTCAAATTGCTTTAGTTTGTCCACGAACATCATGCTAATGACCATATCATGTTTTGGCCAGCCCTAACATCATGCCATTGCTCAACTAGCTTTGACAACACAACAACCTCCAAACTTGCCGCAGGCTCGTCACTCCACATAATTCGATCCTATACGAGCCCCTTCCCACTTCAGTTGGCCCACTTCAAGATTTGTACCAAAATTTGCCTTTATAAACTAAACATGACGAAACTATTTTCTCAGAAACATTTTGGATACACTCTAGTCGTAAAAAATACATATTTGAAATCACTTAGACCTATAACTAATAGAACATCTGAACAAATAAACAATGTGCGAATAAATGCGCGAAGTTAACAAAGCAACAATTGAAAGATTACCATTGGGTAACATCACCTTTATTTTTTATTACGGCTGAAATTCTTTGGGGCATAGTGTTAACCAAGCTTTGGCAAAAATTTGGTGTAAAACAATCCTATATTTCTTGAAGCTTTTGTCTCAGTTCGGTGATTGTACGATCAGGATGTTGTCGTAGAAGCTTTTCCATCTCGTGCCACAAAGTTTCAATATGTGACAGATCTGGACTGCTAGAAACCCATTTCAAAAGTGGTACATTATTTTCTTTCATCCATTTTATAGCCTTTTTTGAGGTAGGGCACGCTGCACCATCTGGCTGAAACACAAAATCTTGGCCGGATGTCAAACATTCTTCCATCACTGGTAAAAGCGATTCTTCTAAAATTGCCAAATATTTATTTGTATCCACATTTCCATCAATAAAATGAAGTGTTCCTACTCCTTTTGATGACATACTGCCCCAGACCATAATGGATGCTGGAAATTTCACTTTTCTCTTCAGACAGTCAATATGAAATGTGTATTTTTTTGCGAATAACTCTACTGCGACTGTCACCAACAGAAACTTCGAATCGGGCCATGTTCTAAGCCGATTTTTCTTTTGCAGGTGGAGTTAATAGTGGCTTTTCTTTGGCCTATAAACAAGTTGTGCAACTTTAGGGTATTTACTTCACTTTTTTTATAAGAAAACTTACCTTGCAAGTTAAATCCCAGTTTGTGGGCATCTCTATGAGTTGTGGACCTCGAAATTCTCCTTCCAACAGCGTCACTCCACAGAACACTTAATTGTAAATAATTGGCACGCCTGTTTTTCACGATTATTCTTCTTAATGCTCTTCGGTCGGCATTTGTGATATTACTTTTTTTCACATATCGTGGCTTAATATTAACTGAAACAGTTACGTTATATCTTCTAACAATATTTTTCAGAATTAAAAAATTTAATTATCAGTAACCGAATTTTAATAACCTTTCTTCTACCCATTTTGAAAACCTTAACTACCCAAAACTATTTTAAACGTATTCTGACAGCTGTGTTTAATAAAAACAATTGTCATGGCTTTTATTTTTCACAGCCACCTATGCGTTATAGACTTATTTTGTATTGAAATGAAAATAGGTTGATATGATGTAATGCTGTAATTGCAACATGTGTTATTTTTATGCTGCAAATTTGATTAGGAAGTGATAAAGTTGGCGTTTTCTACTATATATTATCAAAATCTTCACTGTTAATATTTTAAACCTATAACACCCTACTGCATTTTTATTATTTGTGTTTGATAAGAAAAAACTCAGATTTCAATAGTTGGGCCAGCTGAAGTGGGAAGGGGCTCGTAGTTTAGTTAAGTATTGAGTGGTTGTTTATGATAACTAGTTTGTATTTAATTAAATTTCTTCATTGAAAAAACCGACAAATATTTTTTGCCAAAACTTTTAGGAGATATGTACGTTACTACAACTCTGAAAATATTACGGGAACATCAAGCTAACCACCTTTATTGACTTTTAGAAGCCTCAGATGGGATGCGATTTCTTCCAGCTCTTCTATTTCGGTTTTGTGTTTTGTCTTGTATGTGGGTGCTAACCTAATAATATAGATGCTGAATTTCTGAAATAACCAGACGCGAAGCTGGTGAGCTGTGACTGGACTACAAAACTAGTGAATATTTTCTGACCACGTAGATTTCACTCGCATAGAGAAACGTCTAAAACGTGATGCCAGCGCTGTTGTACCATAGAAGCAGAATTGTAATTTCACAGCGGTCACAAAATCCAAAATTACTTCACAGTAGCTTGTTATGTTGGCAGTTATCGCAGTGGTTGCTGGGTTATCTGTGCAAAAGTAGGAAGCACTTTGGAGCGGACCATTAATTCAGGAGAGGTGGAGGGGATCGAGACGAATCTCACCCATTCTCACGTGAGGGACCAGCGATCTCGGGAGATATTACGTAATGTTTCCGCCAGAAGCAGTGTAAAATTGAGAGATAATTGGTCGTGGAGCCATGAGTCTACAGGGACTGAATTAGAATAAACATAATAGTTAGAAAAAAAGAAAAATACACGCTTTTATAGCTAACCGAATTAAAAAGTAGAAAATAATTTTTAATTGCCCGCATTGGGAATAAGTGCCCGCATTGAAAAAAAAAATAAGAGGGATAAAATAAAAAAAAGTGAAAAATAATAAAAAAAAGTTTTTTACTTAAAATAGTACAATAAGCGAGTTCGTTTATTAATTATAACATAAACGTATGTTCTACAATAATTTCACTGTTAGTTTGATTAAATTCCGCTTCTTATACGTTTAAGTTATCTAAAAATAGGCAAAAATTAACGAATTTTAGTGTGTACCTATCCTTGAATTTTTAGAATAATTAAAAAAATATTTTCTATAAAGGGGGGTTCTTTAAAAAAATCAATGCGGGCACTTATTCCCAATGCGGGCATTTATTGGTCAGACACCAATAAACATAAAATAAACTATAAATAAAATAACATAAGCAATAAGTCAATATTTTTAGTGAGAAGGATGAACCTGATGCTTCAATAATAAATTATCAACATTTGGCATCAATTTTGTAAGGGTTAATCTTAAATCACCTCGGCTAATGATGTTCAGTCTGTTTCTTTTTTTCGTTAGGAGATTGGTAACAGCGCTGAACGCCCTTTCTACTAGGTATGACGATGGAAAGGAAATTAAAAATTTCCTCGCTATATTCCATAATACCGGATAAGTAACGGGTATGTTGTTTTGCAGCCAGAATTGCTGCTATCCGTTTTTAAACTAAACCTTAAGTTCTTCGTTTGTACTTAGTTCAGTCAGTTCCTCTTGTATTATGACATTCGTTTCTTCTATGTCACCATATGGATTAATTATCCACGGTGGTATGACCATAGTCAAAATATCCCCAAACCTAGATTCAAAATCTGAATAGAGGGCATTTAAATGTTGAACGTAAGTTGAAACGTCGTCTCCTTGGCAGCTTGTCTGTGACAAATTGGGGAACTGAGAAAATTCGCCCCGTCCAATATTTTGCTTCATTAGTTTAACTCTGGCAAGAAACGCTGATAAGATGGACTTTGTTTTAATCAAATTTAAACTTTCAACTTGTAATTGCAAATTAACCATATTAAATTTTGTAAACAAATCTGTTAAATAGGCGATGTCTCTTTTCCTCTTCATTAAATTTCTTTTAAAATTTTATCTTTAGTATCTAGTAATTCTAAAATAGTCTCAAAAAGTGCAAAAAATCTTGTCAAACATAAGCCTTTCGACAGCCAGCGTACTTCAGTGTGAAGGAGTAATTGATGAAAGTGTTCGTAATTTTCTTCACACAACTGCGCAAATAACCGCGTATTCAACGCGTTGCTTCGGATTCGGTTTACTGCATCAATGACTAAATGAAGTGATCCATGCAATCTAACACTCAAATTTTTAGCAACTAAATGTTGTCGATGGATGACGCAATGTATTGCTAACACCCCTGACACATTTTGTTTTAAATAGCTTATAAATCCACGATAACGTCCAACCATGGCAGGTACTCCATCTGTAGCTACTGATATTATATTTGATAAAGGAATTGCTTTTTCAATGAAGTAATCCTTCAAAACATGAAATATTGATTCACCTTTAGTGTAGGTTATCAAAGTTCTTGCGAAGAGCAGTTCTTCGTAGATTTCTTGATTCATAATAAAACGAACATATGCCAATAATAACGCTGCATTATC